TGTATTTTATGTATGATTTTGCTCTACTTTTTCGCGAGGGGAACATCGACCGCAAGTTGGCAGAAGAATCTGTAGCGAGAGAACATCCGGCGGTTTTCTGCGGATACTCCGCATGTATATATCAAACGTTTACAAGATCCTATTTTTCATCCAATCACGCGAAGAAACCTGCGAGAAATAGGCGTAGGTCTATTTGCAGAAATACACTCGGTGGACGAAGGATTAAGTATTGCTCTTGCTCTAAAAGCAGAGGATCCCATGGCGCCATGAGAAACAAACAGAAAAAGAGAGAGAGAGAGAGAGAGAGAGAGAGAGAGAGAGAGAGAGAGAGAGACAGAAAGAAGAGAAAACTCGAAAACGTACGATTCTACCGAACATGAAACGACGTGGTGCGTTGGCCTGTCGTCAGACAGATAAATTATACGGGGAACGTGATAACCAAGAAATGTGTCGAGACTCTGAAAATCGCTCGATGTCACGAATTTTCTCTGCGGGGAGACGCCAGTCTCCCTCTTTGTCTCTTTTCTTATATATGTGTATGTACGACGTCTCATAAATAAGAACGCTAATCAGTAACGCATTCTGAACACGCGGCGAAGCATGGAAGGGAACCTTCTCTCTCATCGCCCAATTTCTAAAACATAATTATATTTTATATACATAATTATATCATCGTTAATGTCTATTTCTATTAACGCAGATTTCTTTAAGCTCGATCGGTTTAACTTATTTTTTATCCTTTTCAAGTTTCAATGATTAAACTGAAAAAAATTACTAAGTTTAATAAGTATTTATTTAAATATCCTTACAGAAATGTAATACTAATAAATTAATCATTTATTTTCAATATTAAAAGTATTGTTAATAATACTTCTAATTCGCAAAATAAATGATTAATTAGCCAATATTAGTAAAATTTCTATACGGGATTGTACTAAGCTAAACATTTACTTGCAATAAATAAATATTTACTTGATTAAAAATTGATACGTAAATAAAAATAATGATTTTTGTACATAATAAATGTATATTTACGTTTAGCCAATATTTAATTAGTACTACTCAATAAATATTTACTAAAATTTAATAAATTTTTTCAGTAAAAAAAAGATAAAAGAATAAATTAAATTAAGAGATTTTTTTTTAAAGTTCATCTATATAAACATAAATAGCGCGGCAAAAATTTTAGGAAATTTTAAACAACGCGCGAACAAATCTATTATTTTCTACTCTCTCAGCTATCTCTTAGCGTGTTAGCGATCATCTATTCTCACGGCTTATTTAAAGAGTTTTACGTAAGAAAGAAATTATAGAGCCACAAGTTTAACCACTTTCACACGTCGAGATAAAACAAATAGAGTCCTCACTCAGATTCTTTGTTTCCGTCTTTTCCTTTTCATATTCCTCGTACCTTCCTCACTATCGAGATAATAATCTTAATCGTTGCAGCTGTAAATTTAAGCGACTAGATAAAACAGATAATAAATTAGATAATAAACTTGTAGAAATATTTTGGATGAAAGTGTGCAGTGCTATCGCTACTATTTAAAATCTTTGGAGTGGAATCTTCCTCTAAATAATAAGATCTCATTCTTAAAAATCGACAATTGAGTTACTCTTTTTCAATACTGGCTCAATTGTTATTCTTTGTCACTCTTTAGAATTAGATTCCGCTTTAAAGATTTTACAGAGCACGTATCCCGAGACCTTCCATCCCTTCAATCAAAAAAGTACAAATCAGTCACTTATAATTAAATATGAAATACATCTAATTCTATACATTTCCATTTTACACACTGTACTGAATATATGATAGTCCAACCAGTCAAAAGTTGTCTAAATGGAGTGTCCAATCTCTTTCTTGAAGATCTCTATACCTAAATACTCCGTAATTATTATCGCGGCATTCGTAATACTGGCGCCAACCACTTGAGTACACTGCGACAGGCTCGAAGAAAAACGGTGTGTGGTCGCTGATGCCTCGTAGATAATTAATGGCCCCGCGAGAGTTTTCCTGAACAGCCTCGCGGGCCCCCATAAATAAGACTTAATCATTGAGTTAAAAGGAAGAACGGAGAGAAGCGCGAGAGAATATCAACTCTGCAGCAATCGAAACCGGATTCTTTCTCTCTCTCTCTCTCCCCCTCTAAAGAAATTATCCCTCTCTCACAGAGAGAGAGAGAGAGAGAGAGAGGAGAGAGAGAGTTCGCACCCGTTTCTCCTTTTTTTCTCTCCAAAGAATTTATCTATCTAACACAAATTCTCGCACCCTCATCTCTTTCATCTGCAAGCGTGACTTTTACAGCTGCCGAAACGAGCCATTTACAAATTCTAAATCCTCCCTTTGAGCGGTCTCGTTAATAGTGCGTTCGTTCGGAAATATTTACGAGATTGGCTCGCGACCAATTCCTCCGGCAATATCTCGAAAAGAAATAAAATATTGCGGACAGAAGATGACAACATTTTCTTTTTCTTTTTTCTTAGAATGAAGCAGATCGTCATCGTTAAATCGAAATTCAAAACACGCTACGCTCTTCACAAAATAAAAGTCACACGCTGAGTGGAATAAAGAATATATTGCGGAACAGATCTAACAAACAAATAAATTTATATATTTATTATAATAATTATTATTACTATTAATTACTTATAATATTGCATATTTAGTATCACATATTTAATGAAATGGATTAGATTACTTATTGACTGGATTCAGCAGAAAATGTAGCTTTACAATTTGTAAGATTGTAAAATTCTTTAATATGATTGATTTATATCAGTGATTTAAGTTCAGCGAGGAACTAAAGGCAACAGCAATCATGTTAAAGAATTTTACAAAAGTTGCAAATCTACTTTTCTGCTGAACGTAGCCATTGTTTTTGTTTAGTCAAGCATCACGTCGCGAGTGTTTAAGGAAAATTAAATTCAAGAGTCTTCACCTAAAATCATTTTTGTGGCACTTTCAAATCGTTTCGTAGATCAATGAGATCGGCAATACTTGCTGCGGCCGATTTTGTTAGAAGGCCGAATACCATTCCGTGACTCAGATCGCTGGCCGTGTTTGTTTATGCGCGACGAGTATCCATCCGGCGGAGTTTCGATTCGCGAAAATCCTTCTGCCATTTACGTGGGCGAATAACGCAGATCTTCCACCGGAGGCGAGAATGCTCGTCGCGAAAAGCGCGTGCATCTGCATATTCTGCATCCGTAAATACGCGTGAGAAAATTGTGACAGTGTACGTCGGTCGGTCGGTCGGTCGGTCGGGAATTCAACAGTTCCTGTCATTTATGTAATGCTACTTTTAAAACAACCCCGACAAAACATCGTTTCCGTTTGCTTCTCTTTCATTAAGCGTGTTGCGCTTTCATCGAAAATTTAGCTCGAGCACGAAAGCAACTACGATCGCACGAATCATCGAGACACATCTTGTTTTACATCGTATATAAATTTTACTAAAATACTAAATATATTATTCTAATTACATTACACAAGATTTTATCGCTTATTTATCATTACCAATAATTTATTTTAATTAAATTAAGCGATACTTGGAAAAAAACTTTTTTTTCTTTTTGTAAAATGTGTGGCAAAAATATGTCTCGCTCACATGGAAAGAATAATTTTTTCTGAAACATTTAATTTAGATTAGAAAATAATTTGTTGAATTATATATATCAAAATAATTACGTAAGAAAACTCAAGCATGATGAGCAATGCTGCGAAAAGTTTTAACATTTGAATAATCAGCTCGAGTGTTCTACATAATTATTTTGATGAATTTTTAATTTTTTTTTTAATTTGTATTTAGCTAAATTTTTAGATATTTTAGTATGACCGTTCTTTCTATGTAATTGTGTTACAATATGTCATAATTCAACAAAATATGGTATCCAAAAATTTAGTAGATACAGATCTGATAATAATTTTGTTGGACTGTCAAAGTATTTGTGTAGGACACTCAAGATGATCAATATATGCTGCAAAAAGATTTACGACAAAGTCTTCTAGAAAACTTGATTGATTTGAATCGTTAAAATTTTTTAATGTTAATTGTAAGATGCAATTTTGATGTAATAATTGATTCTAGAATATAATGAAAGTACGGTCTTTCTTTTTTCTTTATATTTCTATTCTTTTTTGAAAGCAATTCCAAAATAAAATTTTTTGTTTGTTATGTCATTATAATAAATGTGTGATGTGTAAAGTGTGAAGATTTATCAGTTCATCTGTAAAAGACAAAACTGGAGATATTCCAACCATAAAGCGCCATCCCGTATACGTCAACATCGACTTGAATTTAAAGATATTCACTTTTTCTTTTTTTGGTAGTCTGGTTTTGTTCAAGGGTCACGCAAAGGTTCGTTCCCTCTGCAACGGTATAAACGTAGACAATAGGCGAGCTGTTCTTCGTCGCGGCTCTAAATTTACCGTGAATATAATCTGTAAATCTCGAGGTATACGTGTGTAGCACGAACACCACGTTGACAATGATGACAAAGCGAAACTGAGTCACGATTACGAGCAAGAGTCTTGCTCAGTCTTCCGTGTCATTGTTGCAAGAATTCAATTGCAACCTAAACGAAGAGTTTTTCCCCCGCGCTAATTAATACGCAGGAACTGGAATCTGTTATCTTCCATTCGTTTTAGGTCGCGCTTCGATGACAATGTTGCGTAACGCGCAACATTCTCTATTAGTAATTAATTACATTTTGCCGAGGCGATATTGCTATTACATGGTACTACATTATTACGAGATGCATTACATTCTACTAATGACATTAACACCTTCTCTCTGGATAAGTATCAAAGACAATTTATCTATGTAACAGCATTTACACATTTAATACTATAATATTGTAATTAGAATTCGCTAATGGCCGTCGTAATATATAAAGTCATCCGATTTAGAAGTGATCCCGATGATGCGAATTTGCCGACTCCACAACTTCTCATTTACGTAACGATATATGTACTCATCGACGGATCTTTCTCGTTACAGAACATCCGGGGAACAAATCGAGCCTTGGTTTCAGCCGGAGAGGAGGGTACCATCGTCACTCCCTGTACTTTCCCGTCGCGATTTCCGGCGACGCGGAGGACGTCACGGTCGATCACGCGTCCCTGAGATTTCTTCTTCAAGGTGATCACAGACGTCCACGTGATCTCGAGGCGCTGGTCTATCTCCGCACGCCGACCTCCCGACGTCTCCTGCTGCGGCGCGAGATCCCGCAGGGTGAGCCGACGGGTTCCCGGTGGATGGAATTGGACTCTACCGAGGCAGCTACGAGCTGGCTCGAGTACGGTCTGGAGAACCATGGCCTCGAACTGGAATTTCTTCACGATAGCCGGCCGACACGCCGCGAGGTTTCCCACGCAACGTTGAACGTGTTCACCATGTCGGAACCTGGAAGTGGTAGAAGGAAGAGGTCCACTCCCGAGGAACTGATGCCACTGCACAAGGGTCGGCGCAGCCGGTGCAAGGGTGACAACAACAAGAAATGCTGCCGGCACGAGTTGACGGTGATGTTCAAGGATCTAAAGGGCTTCGAGTTCATCGTATACCCGAAGGGCTTTGATGCCGGTTACTGTAAAGGCCGTTGCCCGCCTCGGTACAATCCAGCGCATCATCACGCCTTGCTACAGAGCCTGTTGTGGAAGGAGGACCGGAAGAGGGTACCTAAGCCGTGCTGTGCACCCAGCAAGCTCGACCAGCTGATGATCGTCTACTTCGACGAGAACCAGTCAACGCAGCTGAAGGTGTCCTATTGGAAGAACATTCAGGTGTTGGAATGCGCCTGCTCGTAAAGAAGAGGAGAGGAAAAGAGAGTGAAACAGTCTACCATGGCCGAGGACTCACCAAAGAATCGTCCGAATTGTAGTTCGGTGATGCCATCCGCATTCGCGTTAAGATACTACGACACTAATAAAATAAATATACTGATAATGTAACGAAAGTAAAAAGAATGTACTGTCGTTCGACTTTAAGATTTTCGTGCACGTGCGCGATCCCCTTAGACTTCCATTACTTCTCTCTTTTCTTTCTTCGTACGATTCGGACGATCCAAGGCATCACCGAACACTCAGACTCTGTAAAAGCTCGCCTAGGGTCTCGCATCGACTGTGATACTAACGATATTTACTTGTCATTATATTCCTTATTATATAGCGATCGTATTTTATATTATTAGGACATTCTCACTCTATTCAGACCCGGTTAAGCGGAAGCGAATCGTTGCGAATCGTCGATAATAGTGAGCAACGATGACTACCATAACAGAAATCCAATATTGGCCAATTTATTACTGAAAGACAATAATTAATTACTTATTTGGAGTATTAAAAGCACTGAACAACAATGCTTTTGATAGATACTTAAAATAAGTAATTAATTTTGGAAATTTACACTTTTTTCGTATAAAAATGAATGTTATATATGTGTATAATATATGAAAGTTCAGTAAAGTTAATATTTCTATTTAGTGATACAATATTTGATAGTTAAAATAAAATTTTTCGAATTTTATCTTAATTATTTTTTAAAAACATGTCTATACTTATTAAAATAATTTTTGATCCTTAAAGTTTCAAATTGCCACTAAACTTTTTATATTACTTCCAAGTACAATATATAAAAATATAGAAAAATCTGTAATTTTTTCATAAATTTTTCTTTTTAAAAAATGCGTGTGATAAATTCTTAAATTGGCCAGTAGATTTCTGTAAGGACATGTCTTCCTTTTTTAGCCGGGTAAGCGTCCCCGCCATCATCTTGTAATGCATACTCTCTATCTGTTAATTTATTATAATCACGCTAGGCTTCTGCGAAACGAGCGGGTCGATGTCTGATGCTAACGTAACTTTGTGACACAAGTTCTTCTAAAGTTTTTGCTCTTATCGAACCTGTTTTGTATCGAGGGTTTCGTTTAGTTCCTATAGAGTATTACGAATGGAATCTCTGAGTGTCCCAAACAATCTCTCGATTCCTCTGCCGCTCCTCCCCCCTCCGCAAAAATTTCCATTACATAAATATTTTCCACGAGATCCACGTCGATCGATAGCCGCCGCACTGTAATCTCCATGTATGCGTGAGCATTTCGAGTTTTATCTGTGAGATAATAATATTATTCGCATTTTATTGAAGCAATGTGTATCGTATATTTATCGAGCGTTCAACAAGATCGATGAGAAACAAGATCGTTGTTTTTCTAATGCGTCTGATGTATCAAATTGTATAAAAAATTATGATTGCGTGCACTATTGTAAAATTATAATCTAATTAACCATCTAGCGGCGCCCTTTTATTGTCGTTATTCTTGTCCCTCTTATTGTCAACTTATCTAATGATGGAGATCCATTTATAGCGAAGTCTTAAATATATGATCTATCAGTTTCCAATAAAAAGACGCGCTTATTTCTCTTTCATCTCCTACTGTGCGTTGATAAATCTAAATAAATTGAAATTTAAATCAAAATTTGAGTTGATTTTATACCAAGAAATACCAATTTTTACAATTGTCTTAATTTTAAATTAATTTTTCTTATATATTAATAAAGGAATAAAATTTATTAAACAACTCATTTTAGAGAAGATTCATAATACAATACTATTTATTTTTATTGTAACTTCACAAGTGATCAATATATGATATTCTTATCCTTTCTTTCTTTTTTTTTCTTAAATTTCGACAATATCTTTAGAATATATATATATATATATATTTTTTTTAATATATATATAAAATCTTTCTCTCTAAGTTAGCTCATTTGTTTAATCATATAATCGAATTTTTTTTAAATATAAATTCGATTAATTTATAACTTCCTGCGGACTGACTACTGCATTGAGATAAGAGAGACTTGGAATATGAGTCTTTCGTTACACTCCACAAATCGTCAAAATTATTAGAGCAACATATTGCTGTAAGAAGTTACACAATCTTATATATAATTCAAATATCCCGCCCTTCAAAAGATGCAAATTGATGCAAATTCAAATAAAAAGATGCAAATTAAATTCAGTAGCTAAATTCAGGATATCAGGAGAACATGATTTGAAAGAAGTAATCTCTTCTTATCTCTGAAGCGGCGCGAATTTCAAAATGTATTTTTACAAAATACGAATAAATTTTTCTTATTACAATTTTGTATTAATTACTATCATTAGCGAATCGAGATTTACGAAAAGACAGAAGTCAAATACAAAATTTTGCGCTAGTCAATGATCGTTATACATAATTAACACGAAGCAGCTTTCAATAAAAAAAAAAGCTCATTCTTCTATCACTTTACGGTGGTATTTAACTAAAGAAAATTAGAAAAAGTCCTGCGAAATGATTCTCATTTTTATCGAAAAAACAAAGAGTCACGTCTTCTTACAATCTTTCAAATTTTTAACATCATGTCTTAATAATTAAAATTCAAATATTTAGAGTAACGCAAAATTAGAACAAAGTTCGATTTGTGATTTTTATTTATCTATAATGATATTAATTTATCAATATTCTATTATTTTTATTATTTATAAAGTTGTAGAGTGTTCTATAGACAACATTTCAAAATTAGAATCATACAACTATTAAATCGATGTTTTGATGCGATCATTGTGATTTTATGAATAGAACACAATGTAAAGCTACCATTGACGCGAAGGGTTATCTGACCACGACAGCAATAAAGTTTTATTAAGCGTGACGCTGCTGCTCACCCCGTTTCGAGTTCGAAGGTTACCTTGTGTGCAATCACACGCATTTATGCTACACCGAATCGTCAAAAAACTATTATACTATTATATTTTCAGCGACCGATAATGATGAAGAAAAGGCAAAGCGATCTTCGCTCTCTCTTTAATAAGCACGTGAGTTTCACTCACAAACTGTAATCGCATCAATAATCATAAATCAAACAGAAATAGGTCAGCATCCGTGTTGATGAATGAAATATTTCGTTACAGTATCTTGAATGCAAAATCTGGATTAAAAATTACATTTACAAAGATGACGGTTTTGTTTATATACACAGAAATATATAATATAAATGAAGGATTATAACGTGAGATATAAGTAAAAGTTTTATCTCCTGGACGTTTTGCCGATTCCTCTTTTGCCGGAGAATAAATGCTTCGGCATTTTATTGCCAATAAAACGATCTCCCTCGCCTTTGAGACCTCTCCTGGCCATTTTCTTCTGTGCCTTATGAGCTACACTTTTCAGCATCATCTTCATCTGCAATAAGCGCAAACAATGATATATATTTCTGTTTATTGCGTAAATACAATAGATGTAAATGTTTTCGTAAATTAGAAAATAGTTGAAATGAGATATTTTCAGTTCTTTAATAATCTACATTTTTTTTGAAGAAATTGAACAAGTTAATTTAAATTTAATTGTATTTTCATTTTAAGATTAATTTAATAGATTAGATCACTGTTACGCTGAAGCTTTCAAATTTACATCGTTTATTTGGCTCTGACTTACTTCTGTGTTTTTAACGCCCATCTCATCTCGCGGTGGTCTCGAGACGCTGCGAGCACGCGACTGTGACGCCGCTTCCACACGCATACGTTTTCTAGCAGGTTCTGAGCGCGACCTGGATCGTCCTCTCGTTCGTTTGAAGTGCGCCTATATAGTTATAATTAATACAGAATGTATTATAATATAATATATATAATACTTGGTACAATAAAACTAATAAATTACAATAAAACGGTGACTAAATTAACAAAGTACGATATAAAAAATTGTCATAAATTATCTTATTGAAAACACTTAAATACTGGCACTCACGTTTTCAGTATCTTCCATATCCACACCCAGATCTTCCATCTGCTCCTTCAGTTTCGCGACCGATCGATCGCGGGTCTTAGCCGCAGCTGTACGCGGCATAATCGGTTTCGTAGAAGCCTTTAGTATTCGCGCCTCATCCTTCATAAGGAACTTCTTCTCACGAATCTGTTTCGCCAGCTGTTTGATCTCGCGCATCGTTTCTCCTAACTCTGGCACCTTATAATCGTAAAAACCGGCCTCCTCCCTCAACTGCTCTTCTCTTTCGAGTTGATTTAATTTCTGAAAATGAAAAAACGGTGTAGAAACGGTATATTTCGCTTTTGCAATCACGCATCGATATAATTAAGTTTTCACTGACTTCAAAGATATCTAGGTCTATGTAATCCGCTATATTATGACCCTCCCACATTTCTGGGATGATGTCGTATTTCTGATCTCCCTCAATATCGTAATTCTTCTTCAGATCAAGCACATAATCGTCTCCCATCTCCTCTTCTATCTCTCTCTCCAATTTACGCTTCCTTGTGGCTTTCTCCGCCGCAGCCTGCTTCTTCTTCAGAACGCTCTCCGGTATACACGGAACGCGATTAGGATCTATTCTTTTCGGTTGAGCAATGTGCAATCGATTAAGAAGTCCTTCCACCTATAATTATTATAAATTGTGTATTATAACTGCATATTTTACATGCGGATTTTGTGTTAAAGGATCTTTGGATTAATTACCTTTTTAGTTTTGATCTTTTGATCGACTCTAAAGGCCAAAAGTCGCTCGCAAGCCTCCAGTTTCACTTCCATCACGCCAAAATCAGTGATGGTGCTCATTTCTAGCACAGGTATATTTGTATCGTTTTCGAATGGCTTCAGAATAGCCCTCTTTTCCGGAGATAATTCTTCCAAACGTACGATATCCACTTTGTTCATGACTATTATTAAAGGCTTGTTCATAAATAAAGGCTTTATGGATTCAAAAAGTTTTACCTACATAAACAAAACGGAGTTTATAACATTAATATTACAGATCACAAGTGTTATATTTCACAGCTCACTTGTTCCTCCAAAGTGTGACCGCATTGCTCCGACAAGTCGCAGAAGTAAAGCACAGCGGCTCGCAAGTGAGCGAGAGCAGTCACCGCCTGCATTTCTATGACGTTTCTTTCTTCCAGCGGATGATCCAATATTCCAGGTGTGTCTATTATTTGCCATCTCAAGTATTTATAATCAGTATGTCCCACAAACAAAGATTTCGTTGTGAATGCATACGGTTGAACCTCTACATCGGCTCGAGTAATCTGTAAAATGAATCACATTATGTTGTAATAAAATACTATTTATAGACAAAATAATTGTAAAATTATTATGTATTATTTACTTTATTAATAAAACTGCTCTTGCCAACATTTGGGAATCCACATATGATTATCGTGCGCGTGTAAGGATCTATACTTGGCAATCGAGCCAAATGTTGACGGACTTGTTCAAGATATGTTAAATTGGCTGCCTGTCTTTTCATAATCGTGGCCATTCGACCCAGAGCGGCTTTCTTTAGCTGTTTACACCGATATAAGGAATCTCCATATTTTAAAAGACGAACATAATCCTTCGCTACACTGTAATCAAAAATGTATTTTATAAGACAATTAGAACAAATCTTGTAAATTATATGTAAATAACTCTTTTCTTACTTGTCAATTAAATGTCTCGCTGTATTTATCTGTCCAAGAGCCAACTTATAGTGATCCTTATCATACAGAACGTTCATTAAGTCAGCGTAGAATGGATGAACATCATCCAACTTGGGAAACTCTTGTATTATCTGAGATAATTTATCATGAAAGTTCTGTTGAGTGAATTTCACCTTTCGCGTGTAGAAAGAACGTATCCTCGTGATCTTATATTGTTTGTGAATAACAGTTGGTGTTTTCCGTTGTGTTTTTGATAAGATTATATCAATGAAGTCCTATGATGACGATAAAACTCATTACACAGTTTTGTGAAAAAATATTGTAATACAAAAATATAAAGGAAAATTAGAAAATGATTTTTATTTATTTTTCACATGTGCAATACACATGAACAAAATATATACAATATCATTTCTCAGTATAATTATCCAACTTTGCAATACATTTTGTATAATAATCAAAATATTCTGATTCCACCTGTAAAAAAGATTTTTGGTTTTCCTCAAAGACATATATACATTATTTTAAATTCTCACACTCTGATCTAATCTTTTAGTCCTACACTTCTGATTTTTATTTGTTGCAATCATTGAAGGAGGTCTTGTGTGGCGGGTGACTAATTTCAATTGTTCTAGAGTTCAGGGTTAATATTTCTAGTCAATTCTTATATTTAAGATAGTCTTAGTATAATCTTGAAATAAATCAATTACAAAGCTGTATTATTATTGTAAGATATTACTTGAGACAATCTTAAAATAAGATAAACTACAGAACTAACTGCAGAATTTAGGACTTATACTGTTGTAAGTACAGTCTTAAGATGTCATAAAATAATCTTAAGCTAAGGTATTCATAATCAGTTCTTATATTCAAGGCCATCTTAAGTTCAGTCTGGAGATCACAAACTAATCAGAAGGCTGCATTAGTATCTTAAGACACTACTTCAGACAGTCATATAATATTAAGAACAGACTATAAATGGCCTTGGTAACTTAAGATACTATTTATGTAAAACAATCTTAAAATAAAAATTGACTGTAAATATCAACCCCTAGGAAGTGCATACATAACTTCAAAGACAGCCAGAAATTTTCTTCGTTATATGAAATTTATGTTACAAAGCCAGATAATTATACTGAGAAATATCCAGCAAACAAAAATGAATTAAAATGGATTGGACATTTTGTCTATTTGAATGCATATTTTAAACAGCGAAAACTTTTTTTTTATTTAATTTTATTCAATTGGATGCAACTGGATTGAAAAACTGCGTTTTCTATTCAAAATTTTAAATTGAACAGTATTCACGATGTACTGAAAAAACTGATATTATTTTTAGATTGAAAGGCATACAAATATACTCCGTACAAAATTCCTATAAATGAATAAAAATGTATTCAGGATTGAAAAGGATTCATTTTAACATTCATGAATCCGTACATATATTTATGAAAAAATCTGAATCTACTTTAATCCATTTCAATCAATTTGCGTTTGATGGGATGATATTGTATATATTTTGCTAATCTATATTATGTAAGAGATCAATAAAATTTATTTTATTTTCCGATTTTCCTTTGTATTACAATAAATATTGCAATTATAATAAATATTAGGACATATCTAAACATATAAAATTTCAGATGATAAATGTATGTTACTAACCTTTGCAGTTGGGACAACCGCAATTTTCTTGAAATTGTACAAAACCATTTTTTAGCTTATTAAATTCAATGTTAGAGAGAAAACGTATTTTTCCTTTTTTTTCTCTTTTTTAATAAATATCCGTTGTTTTGAGAAAGCACAGGATATTTCACTTTCTCACGTCCCTCTGAGTCGGAAAAACACGTGTCTATATACCAGTTTAGGCTTTGCACAGTATATTCAGTTATCTCGCTGTCGGCACCTTTGATGTTAGTGAAGCCTAAAATGCGCATGCGCGAAATGAGTAAGTTTTCCAGTAACGCCATCTAAACATCCATCTCACTTTCCTCTTTCTCTCTGTTTCTTTTCTAGCTGCTCTATCTAGGTTATTTGTATAAACAGCAAATTAATTTAAATGTAAAAAAACTAAAAGAAATAGATTATAATTGTAATGCATTGTAAAATTAAAAAATACAAAAATAAGAAAATATAAAGTTATATAAATATTGTATAAATATTATACTGCAAAAATAATTTAATTAAAGATCGGCATAAGATGCTTATTATTGTTTTCCTACTTGATTGCTTACGTTTTTTGAGAATTATTAGAATATTGTACCACACAAAATTAATGCAGATTTTAAATATCATCGCTCCTATATTATATAGACTTTCTCAGTACTTCCAATTTGTAAAAAATTAAAAAATGTTCTTAAAAAAATATCTGAATAAAGTTTTCTAAAAAATTATATACACAATTTTGAAAAATTTTAAAACTTAATTGCATGAAAATTATAAAAAAATTTATACAAAGAAAATAAAAAATTATATTAAAAAATCAGAAAAATTTTCAGCGCGGAATTGTCATTGAATTTGCAAATCTTTACAACATGAAATATTACATTTCATCGCCTTGGCTTGCCATTAATTTTCGTTATTTTCATCAATTTCTCATCTTAGAAATAATTAGTCTAATTTCACCTCTCGATCAAATTACTTCGATCATTTCGAAATTCAGAGCTTGCTACGCCAGTACGCGCATGCGCCTGCATGAAATGGGAGCTCTTTTTCGACGCGTGGACGTTTGTTGCTAAGGTTAGCATAGTTTAGTAAGATCTCAAATCGTTAAATATTATCGCAATCCTTTTATGATGCAAAAAATTTGAACAATTTCCTCGCTCTGGCATCCAAGTTGGATTTATAATTCGCTGTATCGAGACACGACTCGCGCGTATTTACATTGAATAAGTATAATTTGTGAGATAACCTAAAAAAACAAATTGATCTCTATCCACAGGATGGCTCCGAGATACGAGTTGGCCGTCGGCCTCAATAAGGGCCACAAAACGACGAAGATCCGCGTGTCTAAAATCAAAAATATACCCGCGAAGGAAAGGACTAAGACCGTCTGCGTACGACCGTCCAGGATAAAAGGTGTAAGTAGAAAATGTATAACCCACAATTTTCTCAATTGTCGCGTTCAGCAGAGCAACTGTTGTTTTTGCTGAGGATTATTTCTCTACAAGTATAGATTTAAAAATATAATCTAACCAACATTCAAAAATTTTTTGATAACTACAAGCATTCTGTTAAATATATTTATTATTGTGTATATGGTATATTGATCAACAAAGAGCTCTTTGCAGTATTAATTAAAAAGCTGATGCACTATAATTTATTACAAGAAGCTTACTTGCCTTTTCTTTTTTTCTCTCATATATATTGTTAATCATCCTCAATTTTTTATCGCAGAGACAAACCAAGCATAGTAAGTTCGTAAGGGATCTGATCCGAGAAGTTACAGGACATGCCCCTTATGAAAAGCGCGCCATGGAATTGTTGAAGGTGTCAAAGGATAAACGCGCCTTGAAATTCTTGAAGAGAAGGGTAAATGTCTCTTCTTGCAAGTTTTAAATAATAGCAGGTTTTTAGTAAAACTATAACTATAATAGTGTCAAATAATTTCATAATGCTTTAAGTTCTGTTTTATAGATTAATCAAATTTGCTTTGGGATATTAACAGCTGAATAAAAAAATATGCAAAAAGATTTAAAGCTAAAGGATCTTACATCCACAATGCCAAAATCTCACTCTGAGATCTCAAATTACTTTCTGAAAAGAAATCACATTGGTCAAATGGCTGAATTGTTCAAATGTGACTTATTAATTCTTTCTCCAAGAACTTAAAATTCTATTATTATGGACAAAAGGTTTAAAAGATTATAACTATTTCAAACCCGTTTTGTTTAATATTCTCTTCTGCCTTTATATTTAAAAAATTTAATACTGTCCAATACTGAAAGAAGTAAAGAATTCCTTATTTCAATTATTAAGAGCTTAGTTGTTCAGTACATTTAGTACTCCAAATCAGTACTGTCTTTTAGTAATAAATTGGTCAGTATTAGATTTTTGTAAATGTGCTGTGGAGAGAGGAGACATCAGTGAGATTGCACAGTAGGGATACTTTCTTATTGAAAATATCAAAACTTTTTTAGTGAGAAAGAAGTAGAGGTTTGTAAATGTTTTTTTTTTATTTCTAAATAAGATGTGTTTTTTTTTTCTAGTTGGGTACACACATCCGTGCCAAAAGGAAGCGAGAGGAGCTTGGAAATATCCTGGTACAGATGAGGAAAGCAGCTCATCATTAATTATATTCATTAAAATTGTAAACCGCTATATATGTACTTGAATAAATCAATATTTCGATATCGATGCATGGGGTACATTATTCAAGAACACTCAATGCTTTTATCAGCTTTGATTCAAATAAATTGAACAAGAACTTGATAGCCTGTTTACTCTTTATTTTAACGACCTATTTTTGTCTAATTTGATAGAAAAAACTACATACATTATTCAAACTATTGTAAAAAAAACAAACACTAGAAATAATTTTTATAAGTTACAAAAATATTTCGTTTGAACTCTGAAAAAATTTTGGCGCGTAATCGAAAAATTATGTAGTATATAAATTTACGCAATTATTTAGAAGCATCCATGATCCAGTTCAGACTGCTGCGGCATTGTCTCATTCGGTTTGAAATTTAGCGGTCCAATAAGAATTGATATTAATTATAAAAATAGCTTTTAGCAATTAGAATGTAATAACAAACTATTTATACATTGCTATTAATGTATAATGTTAACTACCTACTAATTAAATTAATAGCTAATAAAGAACAAAACAAAATTTTATTAATTATAGATAATTTATTTATCAACGTTAAATAAATTCTAATTGTGACAAAAAATAAATTGAAAGATAATTGATACTAGTATTTAATTCTCACTTTGGTAATATATTTAGTAATAATATTCAAAAACATCAAATAATTTAATAAAATTTTACATACCTATTGTACTAGATATATTAAAAGTAAACCGCTTACTTTCATCAGTTTCCGTGGTGTAGTGGTTATCACATCCGCCTAACACGCGGAAGGTCCCCGGTTCGATCCCGGGCGGAAACATTTTTGTCTAAAAAAAAATTTTTTTATTATTATTACAAATATAAAATACTTACTGGGCGTAATCCACTGTTTTATTAAAATCTATGCCTTATTTTGCGAATATTGTAATCAAATGACAATTGAAGTTGTTAATATAGTAAGCTATTTCATAATTCACAATCTACACATTTAAAAGAAAAAACGCATTTATTAATTATAAAAATATAAATCTCAATATATTTAATCAATTTGTTAATATGTTCATATTAAATTTTGTTTTACTATTAACTGTTATTAAAATTACATCAAAATTATTAAATTATGTAACTGTAAAATATAATTAAATAATAATTTTATAATATATACATTACATTTTATATATTATTTTACAATACTTCCAATTTCTTATTATTGTACAAATCATTCTTCAAGACAGTCCAAGGAGCAAGATGAGAGCTGAAACACGTACTTCTTGATACCTTCGAAAAATCGTCAAAGTTATTAGGAAAACATGTTGAAGGGGAGATACAGGAGATTACAAGAAGTGGCAGAGTGGTGCAAAAATTTAACACTCTTTAAATGTATAATTAGACAATGTCGGTAATTATAATTACTGATAAATTTAATAACTACAATACCGACTATAGATAATACTACCATCTCATTACTCAACAGCGCAAAATTTAAATTAAATATAATTATGCTTCCAGTGACCTCCTCTTGAAAGATGTTTTTCTAATAACTTTTATGCTTTCTTGGAGGATCAAAAGATGCATATTCCAATTATAATTCAATTTTTTATTTTGCTATTTTGAATGAAAGAGGAAAAAGACAGGGATAATTTAAAGAAAGTAATTTGTGGATTATCTTTAATCGCAAACTCTTATTTAGATTGTTTAAAAGAAACTGGTGACATAGGCTTTTATATTTCTACATTTCTATCTTTATCATGTAAATTCATAATTTAGAACTGGAATCTTTAGAGTACGGAAATTTATGATGTAAATAACATATTTTTTGTAACTTTACTTTCATTGTATTATTCAAATAGAATATACATTCATATTATTTATTATATTACAATTGATATATAATATAACAAAAAAATTTTTTGCGACTTTTCGCAAAATTGTTAATATTTAAAGTGTTTTTTTATCTATTTTGCAAGTGCATAAACATCTTATTATACTTTTAACAATTACAAAATGTCATGTATTATTAGTAATACATGTATACATACATACACATATGGATTTTTTGCTTTACTATAATAATAGTTACATAAAATTTTGGATAATAAAATTTCCACTTATTAGAAATGTTATACAAATACTGACAGTTTTATAAAAATCTGATAACAAATTTTTTATGTAATAAAAAAAATGCGGATATAATTATATATAGAATATATACATATGTTCCTTTTCTTTTGTATAATTTTTGTTCATAGAAAAATAATAATTGAAAAATATTAAAAAAAAGAATTTTTGCATTGTTTTTGTTCACAAAAATATGTATAATTGTGAGTATAAAATATGTATAATTGCAATATGATATTCTATATATAATTATATATATAACTTTCTATAAAGTCGTTATGTGTATATATGATTATATATATGAGCAATTTCTACTAAATAAAAACTTTACTCGCAAAAATTATTCATTTTAATTCTTTTTATCTCTTTTTTTTTTTTGTATAAATAAACAAAAATTATGTACGAGAAAGAATATACATATATAATTTATA